CGTAACCATGGCCCATTCGATCAGCGCAAAGCGACCAATTCTAAATATACATACCGACCACGTACACACGTATGTACGCCGTTTAGCCAGGTTTCTACGAATCGAGAAAAAAATCGCGTTTTTTGTCGCCGGACAAGGGGGCGAGGCGAAGATAAAAGATAACGGAGCAAGAGAAAAAAAGGAAGAGGCAAAGGAGGAAAAAACAGCGGAAGGAGGAATAAAAAACAAGGATGAGAGAAAAAGAATTATGCGATTATCGCCGAGAAGAGAAGAGCGATAAGCCGTCAAAGGGCATTTGCCGCGACCGGACCAGTCGGTGGATCGTTCTCTCCCGCGTTAACCACGTTGCCGGCAATGACGGCAAGGGAGAAGCAAGAAGCGGGAAAAAGGAATGGGGATAGGGCGCGAGTAAGCGGTGCGAAGGCCAGAAGAGAGCGGGAGAACAAGAAAAAGAAGAATGAGAAAAAAGCATCGTCAGAGCAGCTAGGTAACCGCCAGGAGTCGAGAGTTATCGTCTGGCGATAAAAGTCGATGGCGATAATAACGGCGATATACTCGCCCCCTTTCTCCCCGCCTGTTGTGGCTCCTCTGCCACATTCTCCTACCACCGTGTTCCTCCGTCCTTCTTTCTCCGCTCGTTCGACCGGGCTGATGCACTGGTCTGGCCTGCGTCCGCCTGTCTGGCTGTCAACGGGTCGTTGAACCCCCCTCTTGCCCCTCTCATATCCAAGCCGACCGATGCGATGTCTTCAAAGCTTCGAGACTTATCGTCGTTTAAATGCAACGCCGCGCCGCGGTCTCCGCTCCCTGGTTGCACGCAGCCGACCCCCCTCTCTCTTTGCCCTCACCCCTTCTACCTCCCACACAGAACCCACCACCGCATCACCACGCCATCGCCACGATCCCTGTGTCCCGTCGCACGCCGCACCGTGCGGACACAAAAGTGGGCAGCAGTTTCTAAACGAGCACCGACTCCATCGTCCTTCGTAGACTTCGCAGATTTCTCTCCTCTATATATACTTGTATGCACGTGCACGATGCGATACGATCGTATCTCGATGATGGTCGTGCATAACAGGATCGTCGAGCGTCAATGAGCGTAATCGCGACAACGAGATGGACGATTAATCGTTCGAACGATACGGTGAAAAGGGATCAGAATTTCAGCAGGCAAGCGTTTCGTGGCGATTGTCTACTTTCTTCTTTGCATCTTACACGGTGAAATGTTATCACACGGGCGATCATGGATTGAGAATCCTAGCAGTAAAGTATAGGGAATAAAAGAAGTACGTGTGTGTTAAAAATAGTAAGCAGGTCTTACTTAACCTTGAGAGTAGAAGCCAAGTAGAGACGTTTACATGAAACGTTTCGAGAGACGTTTTACAGGCACAAAAGAGCGCAGTGGAGGCCGAATTTTCCTCCCTCGATCAGACGCACACAAACAGAGGAACAGAGTTCATCGGTGAATGGAAGATTCACCGATAGCATCAGGCAGGCAGACAGAGGAGACGATGGCAGATAGCGAGCAGATGCACTGTATTTCCTTCGGAAACAATTTAAACGATGCTTCACAGCCCTCGTTACATCGACGCTGGGCTGAAGACCAGATTGAAAGAGTGAGGCAGGTCGAAGAAACACCGAGCAGAATAAAAGAAAACGAAAAAGAGGTAGAAACGAAAGAAGGTGCCTACTAGAAATGGTAATAATAAAATCTGGAGAAGTCGAAAGATAGAGAGGTGTGGGGCCGCAAGTCGGGGGTGGTTTGGGTTGGCAACGGTGGTTGGGACAGAGGGATAGGTCGGCAGAGGCGCGAGGACAGAGTATTTTAACTTTTTAAGGGGGTGTACGGAGCAGTAGGAGCGCGGAGCAGTTCACTCGAACAGTTTGGTTGGCTTGTCTGCCGGGGGTGAACCGGGGGTTAGTCTAGACGGGAGTCCCCCGACTTCCACCACCTCTCTCCACTCTGTAGCCCCCCTCCCTGCCCATTGCGCTCCAATCCCCATACCAGAGCAGCGTCACCGCTATACTATGTACCACTCTCTGAGGCTATGAGCGAGCAGACAGGTTGCGCGACCAATGTCGTACCAACCCCTTCCCTTTCACCGTCTCATCCTCCACCCCTTTCTCCTCATACCTTGCTCGATGCACTCGTCCAAAATCTCTTTACCATTTTTTCTCTCTTTTTCTCCGGCTCTTTCTTTCTCGGCTCGACTCGACGAGTCGATGCA